CACTGTTCTGCTGTATTATTTATGTCTATTGTATCTTTATGTTGGAAATATTAAATAATGCTGTACTACTGAATATCCCTTGACTCTAATGATATTAAGTTGATAGCTTGAAATTGGTTGTGGGGGGAATGGAGTGACATGAAGATTTATACCACAAAAAGCTGGCATATACTATAAATAAATAAATACTAACAGGTCAGATAGTCATTTGGATAACTCTAGTAGAAACACAGTCAGATGAGATGATCACCCGAGGCCTTTGGATACCCTGAAAATCAGACTAGCAAATCTTCACAACCACAGTGCATATACCGGGTGCAGGAGGAAATGGCATTTCTGGTCATCTGTTGATGTAGTCCATGGCGCTACAAATCATCTTTAATGTTTAATTTCTTCATTCTTACAACAAACATTAATTGTGTCCCTGTCCCCCACTGGGGCAGCTCTGGGGATACAAAAATGAGGAACACACACCCTGCCCTCACAGTTCCTTGACAAGTAAACAGGTGTAATGAAGTCAAGCTGGTAAGCATTAGGGAAAGGTTCTTCACATATGCTCAAGATCTAATACCTTGAGTAGGGGACATTTCTCCAGTTTTGCTAATGTTGTGTCTATGTACAAGGAGTTCAGGGCTAGAGCTCCTACAGACTGTCACAGTAAGCCAGATGTCAGAAGAACAGAGATTAAACTCAGTCCCAGAGAGAAGGGTTCCTGAGGAGTCTGTATCTTGATGTTGAGTTTGGAAACCAAGGATTAAAAGAGTTAGCTCTCTAAATCCTGCAGGTAAAAGTCAAAAGGTCAAATGAGTAATTGTTTTTTAAATTCCCCAAGAGTTACAGCCATCTGCAAATTAAGATTCCCTCCACCTACTGAGCCCTCCAGCTAGGCTGGTGGTTGTAACATAACCACTCCAGCTACTTTTATTTTTGTTTTTTGAAAAAGGGTCTTTCTATGTAGTTCAGCAATACTTCTGCCTCAGCATGTGCCACCACACTTGGCTCCAGCTACTTACAGATACTGTTTTTTGGTATGGATGGCTCAGTTGTGGATGCCATGATAGTCCACCGCACTATAAGTCATCTTTTTTTTTTTGGTACTGGGGATCGAACTCAGGTCCTTCTGCTTTCGAGGCAGGCGGCAGAACCACTGAGCTAAATCCCCAGCCCAGGTACTGGGCTTTTTTTTGTTTTTTGGGTACTGGGGATCGAACTTGGGACCTTGTGCTTGCAAGGCAGGCGACAGAACCACTGAGCTAAATCCCCGACTCCGGCCCATTCATCTTTAATGTTTTATTTCTTCGTTCTTACAACAAACATTAATTGTGTGCTTGACCCCCACTGGGGTATCTCTGGGGATACAAAAATGAGGAGAAAAGAGCCTGGCCCTCACAGTTCCTTGACAAGTAAACAGGTGTAATGAAGTCAAGCTGGAAAGCATTAGGGAAAGGTTCTTCACATATGTTTAAGGTCTAATTAAAGCTAGGAGCGCTCCCTGAGAGCAAGGAAGGTGCCAGGTGCACAATGGGGCTTGAAATACTAAAGCGCCAAACCCAGCCTTGACAGCCTGTTCTTGGGAGAATATGAGTTTGCAGAAGGATCTGTGCAATGCGGTGATATTCCCACCCTACCCAGGGTCAGCAGCAATGTCCTGGTAACCTAACTGCCACAAAGCAACTAGCACTGGTTCTGGTTATTCACAAAGGAGAAACTGGGAAGGTGGGTTTGCTCAAACTTTTTAAGGAAGTTTATTTCCAAAGTGCCTCCCACCCAGTGTTGTGTGAAGTACTATCTCGATTTTCAGCCACAGACAGGAAGTACAGTCAGCTCTTTAAGCACACCCCAAGCCCACTTTCATGGCTCATCCTCAGCCAGGTGCCAAGAGTTGACTTGAGTGAGTCAAGATAACTTGATGGAAGGAACAGAGTGGGCTCAAAGCAACTGGGAAGCATACACCTTCATATGGCTGAGGCAAGTGTCCTGAAAGTCACCAAGTGAGGTGGCTCAGCTGGTCACACTGACTTTGGCATGCAGCACTCAGTTCTGAAATTAACCTGTCAACTAAATTGAAGGGGAGAAAAGACAGAGGGCTGGGACACAAACGTCCATCCCCACCCCAGTGCAATCACTGACGTCAAGCCTGCTGTGAGTGGTACTAATCACTCCAGCCTGGTGTGCAGTTGAGCACAGATCTCTTTCCAGCCCTCCCAACCGATTCCTGGGAGTGTTCCACCAGGCACGCACCTGCCACTGGCCAAAACCCTCAATGCTGAGACAGTCACGGACACAGGCTGTTGCCGATCACATTCAAAGCCACATTGCAGCCTTCAGAAGCCAGGGAAGGGGGAAAGAGGAGGAGCTGGGAGCAGGGCAAAAGTGGTGCTCATGCTCTTCTCTCAGGTGTGCGTTTCTCTAATCTCTGCAGTGCACCCCCTTTCCATAAGATGGTCAACTCCTGGGAATTTGATGAGAATATAGAATTAATGGCCCAAAGCGCTCTGAGAGCCGGTCATTAATTCCCCTCAGGAAATACCAGTGGTTTTTAATCAAAATTGCCTAAATTATAGGCTAGTGATGCATGTATAGGGGTTAAGGGAGCTGTCACTCCAGCTGTTTCCGATAGATGGCGCCCACCTTCGTGCAAATAAATCATTCACATAATTTGTTTTCCATTTTTCCTGGGAGGGGAAAAAAACAGCAGGGAGTGGAGAGGGCTTAGTAAAGGTCCAGACAGGAACGTTCCGTCCAAGGGCTGTTTCCAAGCCTGGCACGCCTCTTAGGCCCAGAAGACTAATCCATTCCAGTGTGCAGCCAGGGACCTCAGCGGCAGTCCTGCTCCCTGTGTGCAGCCCCAGCTGGGCAGTACAGTGATGAGAAAGCGCGGGGGGAGTTGGGGACAGGAGAGGACCACAAAGAGGCCTTTTCTGTAATCTCTAAGGGAAGATTCGAGGGAAGACTTCCTGAATCCCATACTCTGTAGCTGCTGAACTTCATACCCCTTCCTGTCATTGGTCCCAAAATATCAAGCTGTTCTATTTCCACGTGGAATTGTAAATAACATGGGGTCTTTTGCTAAACAAAATCAAACCCTAAAGAGTTTCTGGCAGAATGCAACCTCATGCTAACTAAATTTGGATGAACAGTCTGTGACTTGAATCACCTCTCAGAGGACATGTAAAAAAAGACTTTAGTCCTAAGGAAAGATAGGGCATATGTCTGTCTGACTTAACATCACAAACCTCGGTTGCAGCCAAACCATGCAGATTTCTCAGACTGCAATCCCAGAGACTTGGCACTATGACTCACATGTGAATGAAGTCAGAGGATTGCTTTATTTTGGTTGGGAGTTACCGCCTGCTGATTGATTTGTCAGACTAAGTATTTTGATACAGTATTTATGTCTCACAGGAGTTTAAAACACTGAAAGCCAAAAGTAACAAATGGCCACAATTCTTCTGGTAACTCTTTGTATGTGGCTTAAAGATCCCTAAATTAAAGTTAAGGGAGCTCTGCTATAGCCTGATAGTTCCAGCTTTACATTCTATCCAGCAGCACACGGAATACTGAAAGTCAGCAAGGTGGGTCCAGGCGAGCTGATCTTTCCACCTTCTAAGGTGCCTAGAAAAGCTAAGTACATGGTAGGGAAGTAGCTTTTACAAATGATTGGAGTGGTTCAACGGTCCCCAACCCAACCAAAATCTGTTGGACCAAAGGATGCCCAACTTCTTGAAACAACTAGCTAAGCTGCATAGAGACTGAGAAATGGGCAGAATAGACAGTCTAAAATGACACGGGGAAGTGCAAGATGCTGTTTCTCCAACTCATCTGTATGTAGCATGGTTCCCCATTCTTAAAATGGTTTTCTATTCACTTCTGAGAGCAGTAGGCAGAGGATCTACCTTTTAACGATGAGTGAAAAGGCATTCTACGGGTTAAAAAGATCTCCTACCAAAGGTTTCTTCTAGGCGGAGTCCCAAAAGAGGTGCTAGTGTGAGGTGTGTTTCCATATACTTTCTCTCACAACTCACCACAGTGCAGTAAGAAAAGTATCATATTCCAATTTACATAGAGAGGTCTCAGCCTGAGTCAGTTGGAACTCTGAAATTTTGACCTCATCTTTTGTACCACTTTGCCCTCCAATTCACTGTGAAGTACATTGACTGATTTTTGCTTCCTCAATTCTGAAAAATCACATGAGTTTTCTACTAAATTCTCTTGCCAGTGGCAATGTGGGAGGAAGCCAGCTGGACTTTGTTTACAGGCAATGAGAGGCCCCAAAGCGGGTCTGCAGACATTAAAGCAATTCCCCACCTTGAAAAGGTGAGCGAGACCTGCCCCCCCCCCCCGCCCACTGAATTAGACACTTGGCTCTTTATTGTAGTAGCTCTGGGACCTTAGACTATCTGTAAAATGGGAACTATACTGCCTGCCCACTTTGTAGATGTACGAAGACAATCATGTAAACAAAGACTGCTAAAACTCCGGTAGGTCCCCTTTCCTTCTCTTGCCAAGGGGGTGTGAGTCAGTGAAACTCCTGGAGGGAAGCGGGTCACTAATTTCAGCCAGAACCCAGCCTGTTGAAACCTGAAACTCTGGGAATGGACAAGAAACTCGAGAAGCCCTCAGATCTTTTCCCTGAAGACCCTCCCTAGAAAATCCAGCTGCAATCTAGAGCGCGCAACCTCTTCGCTCCACACCTCTCCGCTCCCACCGCCACCACCAGGGGCGAGGTCTTCTCCCTACCGCTTCAGGCTTTAGGAAAAAAAACAAGACCCAGGGGGCGCGCTTGCTGGCCGCAGCTCCCGCCGTCCTCCCTGCCCTCGGGCCTCCGGGGTCCAAAGCCTGGGTGATTTGCGTCGGTGGGCGTGGCGAGCGCGCGCGGCCTGCCTGCCGGGAGCCACCGCCGGGTGCCTGTGAGCGCCGAGTGCGCGCGCCGCCTCGTCCTCGCCCGGGGCGGCGGGCCGCCCGCCCCGCCCCTCCCCCAGACTACGCACCGCCGGCCGGCTGACCCAGCAGCCCGCGCCCGCGCCCTTGTCCGCGCGACCCGGCGGCGGGCTCCAGCGGCCGGCACCATGAGCGGCGGTGGCGACGTGGTGTGCACCGGCTGGCTGAGGAAATCGCCCCCCGAGAAGAAGTTGAGGCGCTATGTGAGTGCGGGCGCGGCCGCCAAGGGGCGTCCCGCGGCCGCCCGGGGGGCTGAGGTCCGGGCGGGTGGCGGGCGGTGCGCGGCGGGCCGGGCGGGCCCGGGTCCGGGCGGGGTCGGTGGGGCTCGGAGTCCGCGGGGCGCCACCGTACACCTGTCACAGGTGCGCGCCGAGGGGCGGGGCGCGGGAGGCTGAGGCTCCCCAGCCAGCCTCGCCCGCCCCGAACTAAATCCAGTATGGAAGTTTTTATCGATTGTTTCTGGAGAGCAAGAGTTGGTTCCCGGGGCTGGGGGACCACGGTAGCCTCGAGCAATTCGGATTCAGCCTGCGCGGTTGGGGGAGCCGGCGGGAAAGGGGGCCGTTAGACGGCGGTGCGGCGCGCCCGCCCCACAAAGGGCGAGGCGCCCACACCCTCGCCCCTTCCCTTTCTCCGCTCGCCCGCCCCTCCCGGGTGGCCGCCTGCTTCCTTCCAGTCCTCCGCCGCTGCATCACGGGCAGCGTCAGAGGCATGTGCAGCCCTTGTATTAAGTGACTCATTTGTTTGTCCCCCTTCTTTCTCTTTATTCTGTATGTCTCTCGCACGCCGCCCCCTCTTCCGCCCCTCGATGGTGACACTGCAGTTTGGTCCTCTCTAACTGCCCCGGGTTTTGTGCTCTGCAGCCCTTGGTGTGTGGGGTCGGGAAAGATCAGGGTTTTCAAATGCCAGGTGGTGCTAACCGACAGGGTTGACAGAAATTGCCGGGACAACCTCTCCCTCCAAGGGGGAAGGTGTTACCGGCTAGTGCTGAGCAGAGAGGAGTTCTGAGTCGTTCCCCCTCGCCCCCGAACCAGAGGATGCCGTGCCTGGTGAGGTCAAAGTACGAGATGGTGCCAGTTAGCGAGATTTGACTGAAATCGGTCCTGGGATACTCGCAGTTTAGAAATGGAAGTAAAGCTGCTAACTGGCATCAAGCTCTCCCATCCTCTTCCTCCCTCTGCACTTCCCGCGGAAGCCCTTGTTACTCTGACTTGTGGCGCTGGGCTGGGGGAATCCCTCCCACCTTCCAGCTGCTGTACATCAAAGGAGCTCTGAACAGACCTTACCCTCTGTCAGCTGCACCAGTGGCTGACCATGAGGGCAGAAGCTTACCAGAGTTTCCTGTCTTCGCCCCCCCCCCCCATCCAGGGACTTCTGCCCTCTGGACTGAGGAAATACCATTCTGCTTTTCAAAGGAAGTGTTGTTGGGCAGTGCAAGTGTGTCG